GTCGGGGGGGGGGGGGGGTACGTCTAGGGCGAAGGACTCGGTCGGAGGAGCGTTCCACATGCGGCACGCCGTATTTATGGGGCTGCTGCTTTCGCACGCTTCTATGAGAGACCCGGAGCGTAACCCGGAGACAATCCAGCGTTCACCGGGACGACTCCTGTCGCCTTCCGGGGTTGGTTTGAATTTGAAAAATCTCCAAAAATACACCGAGGCATGAGAGAACACCAGTGACAGATTTCTACGGAAGCCATATAGGCAGTGGTTCAGTTGGCGATGGCCAGCACATGGATCTTTCGCGTGCTCCAATCTTCCTGCCCCTCCCCACCCCCCCCCCTTTCGTTTTCCTCTTCACGCCTGTCCGCGATCCTTGTTCCTTCCCCTCAATGCTTGCAAACCTGGACCCGACATTGACGTGTCATAAATACGGGCCCCGTACATTGTACTTATCGTGAAGGGATCTGATCGTCTTCCGCCCAATCAATCCTCCACCTCTAGTATCATCAGCAATTCATGTGTACTACCACGGGTGGTGTTCGCGCCCTCGACCACTGCTGTCGATACGGAGAAAACATTCATACTTCCATCATCGAGGCACACCCAGAACACAACAACCACATCTGTCGGCATTGGTTCCCGCCTTGATGATGTCGCCGAGCAAACGCTTCGTGGAGAAACCAAGTCCAGCATCCAGCAGGATACTCTCAATCCGCACAGAAAATACTTGATTTCAATTCAACGCATATCCATGAGCATCACCTGGAGCAGCTCCCAACAGTCATTCTTGTGTTTCAACTACAAGCATCTCCCCAATAACACTTGAAAACAAAAGAAGTGGTACGCACACGTTTCGTACCGACACTGCACTGACGGTGTAGCTGCTTGTCCAAAATACGGGAGGTGATCACCTTGTCGATGTCACTGATCATCTGGTAGATGGTCTGGTTCTTAGCCTCGAATCCCAGGGACTGCATCGCCGCCTTGAGCTCCTTGGGGTCGATCGTGCCCGACCCGTCCGTGTCGAACAGGTTGAACGCCTCCCTGATCTCCTCGATCTCCTCCTCTGACAGCCCGGGCCGTTCGTACGTCTTCGCCGCTCGCTTGGTAGGGGTTCGGCGCGCCTGCAGTTTCATTTCATTTCTTTGTTGTAATCGTTCTTGGGCAAAGAAAAACTTCACATGGATTCAAATCTAATTTATCCTGGACTCTCATCTGTGGATAGAGATGGGTGCGTTGCGTTTTAAAGTGCGAAGAAAAAAAAAAGTTGCAAGTGTTGTGGGGCGCGAGCTAACCCGACCTACGGCGGTGTTCTTTAGCTTATACGAGTGTAAAAACGAATGACTGAACGGCCTCCGACTATTTACGGTCAAAGGTTGGGCGTGCTCTCGAGGTTCATTGGGGGAGGGAGCAAACGTGTATTGACGGCTACGGCATATATTCACACAGCAGCGCGAAATGCTCCATGCCAATGGTTTTGTCTGAAAATTTGGAATCGCCTTTGTTGGTGGGGACCCTGTACGCGTACATACACTCTATTCGGGATGGCATCTACACCTATTGAAGACCTTTTATCTCTCTCTCGGTCGGCCGTCAAGAGCGAGCTACATATAGTGTACAGGACACGACGAGGGTTCGGCATCGTCTGATGCATGTTTCGAGAACTCCCGAAGAGGTTTCACAAGCCACACACCGCGCACCACGCACCTGCCCTAAGGAGGTTACACGCCAATTGGGGTACACACGTACATCTACAGACCCTACAGCTCAAAGGCGCACCATGCCATGTGCGGAAGGTGAACTGTGCAAGTCGCCCGACACTTCGCCAGAAGCCCCTAATGGGCAACGCTGTCAGGGAGGATGTGGCGGGCGGCTCCACGGCAATAGCGGAAGCATCGCAGAAGACAACGAAATGCACCGCATCTGCAGTCTGTGTCTAGCCAAAGCTGGCAAGCGCAAAGCGACAGCGCCACCGGAGGGTGCTGGGGCTCGAAAATCCAAGTCGCAGAGGACGACAAAGATAACGCGGGAGTGTAGTCAAAACCGTTTTTTTTGCTGTTTCGTGTCTGGCGTTTGATCCGTCCTGTCTCTACCTGGCATGGCTGGTTGTGTGTCTGATGATCTGCATGTGGCGCGTCTTTCGCGGTCGTTTCTTGTTCTTTCTCGCTACTTGGGTGAAGGGCGAAAGAGTGCTCTTGCACGTCTCTCGTCCACATCTGTTTTAGTTTGCTGTTGTTCGATTCTTTGCGAATAACTATGTAACTTTTTCCGTTCAATGGTGCATTGGGTGCAGTTGTGTCGTCATTTCGCTGTCGCGGAGTCCTCTCTATTACAGCAACTTTCCGGCTGCACAGCGCCTATTCGTGAGACTGGAGGATCAGCATGCTGCCGCCTCTCTAAATAGATGATCATTTATTAACCACAGCAACTCTGGGCAGTCCAGGAAGACAATTTATCCTTTGCAGTCCGCCCACTTCACCACTCAATCGTTTCTTATTCAATTTGTGAATATGTTGGCTCGTCGCTGCGCCATATGCCCACAACCCCTCAATAGTGCCACAACCGGCGGTATTGAGGGTTTCTTATCCCTCAATAGCGCCGGTTGTGGCGCTTTTGTGGCGCTATTGAGGCACTATTCCAATTTACATATATCTCTATATATATATCGAATGGGTAGTCTTTCTGTGCGTGTATTTATTTTTCCTTAATAACGCCGGTCGCTCTGAATAGCGCCGGTCGATGCGCTGGGCACATACCGGCGATATTGAGGGTCCCCTACTGTATATGAATGTTTAGTGTACCTGCTGGAGCACCGCCGTATAGTCTATAAATACAAAAACAAACGGTTGAACAAGGTTGAAAAAAAAGCGGCAGGAATATTGGGGGCTTGTCCACTTGTCTCTGAACGTAGAGATGGGCACTTGATTTTGACCCCGAAGGTCGGAAGGACGAAGGACGGCACCAGGGATGAGCACACAGGAGCAAAATCAGTCCTTGCCAAGTCGTCAGAACAATGTAGGCTGTGTAACGGCATCATGGTGCCACGAGAGAGCACGACACAAGTTCCCTGCAGCCAAACGACAGGATCTCAGGGAAACCTCCCCTGCGCCAGCACAGATGCTGCGCCCAACCGAAAAAGGCGACGAATCATGAGGCCATCAGCAGGGAAACAGCAGCAGTAGCAATGGTATCCAAGCTACCGCTGCCTGCCTTTCGCCACGAGCCGTGTGCAGACGCTTCCGGGGGGGAGACGCAAAAGGATACCGCACGCCGCCCGGTAAAAAAACACAGCTCACCATTTCCAAGCTGTCGGACCCGTGGACTGAGCTGCAAAACAAGCAATGGAGAGTGTGTGGGAGGCCCTTTTCTTCAGCGGAGGTGGTGAAGGTTGGATAGATGAGGCCAGGAGTGTCGTGGTTGAACAGCAGTGGAAGACGCCGTGTGTGCGTCTGGGGGGGGCACCACGCCTGGGACTAGCGGGGTATGTCATATTTTGATTTTCAAATTCAAACGAGCCCATGATGTATGTGCTCATCATCACACCTATGGAACATAGCCCACATAGCGAAAATTGGAGCCGCTCCCCAACGTCTGCCGTCGCGGGCTAAGAGCGCGTAGTTGACAAGCTCCATCTCGTTAACTTCATGAATTATTTCCCTTCGGTTTTTGCTCTCTGGACCAAAAAAATCCAACCCTGCGAATCTACAGCAACTCAGGGAGTGAGGAGGGATGAAGGGCGCACAGAGACGGACGCGAACAAGATGAAACCCAAGAAATCCATAGCGCAGACGGGAGTCGACCGCTTTCCCGAGCACCCGTCAATACAATGTAGTGCGGTGGCATTCGCCTGAGGAGGTTTGAAATTTATACGTATTTGACTGCACGATATACGACAGGATCTACAGATGGGGCTCTGTTAGAGAAAAAAAGGCTCAAACTTTTACGGAAAAATAAGAAAAAAGGCCTCAGCTCAATCTCGGGCACAACATAAGAAACATCCCAATAAGAAACATGATCGTGCTATACCCCAAGACAAAAGAAACAACGGGTAGAAGCTGGGTGAGCGTGTCCAAAGAAACGTCCCACTGCTGCTGCTTCTGCCGTGCTCCCACCTCCTACCTAGCTCATATGTCATGTAATTATTGGTAGGGGCGGAGAGTGGTTATTTTCGCGACCGCCGCCGCGGGCTGCGCTCCCCACTGCTGCTGTACTTCTGTACTGCCACAACCCCCAATGTTCGCCACACCGAGCTGTCGGTTTACTGCTACATGAAGGCTTTTTGTGTGTTGTTTTCTTCGCCATCAGAAAAAGAAAATACAGCAGGAATAGGAGAATCAGCAGGATGCGACAGCCCAAAGGAATAATAAATCCGTTTTAAGAAATTGACCGACTTCGGCTGGTCCTTCTGCCCAGAATAAGAAATTGATGCTCCACCCGATATTGACGTTTCTTATCTCCGGGCCCTATCTGTACTCCATCCACCCATTGATTTGTTGTCCCGAGATACACAAGCACACCGCCGCACACTGGCCCTATTATTCCACCCCCAACTCTCAGCCCCCAAATCGCCATATGGGCCACCCCGTTCCATACACAAACATCGTCTGCCTCTTGAACATCATATTTGAGGTAGGGAGAATCCGCGCCCTGGACCACAAAACAACCGCGGAGCAACAGGTAAACCCCGCCCCCACGTCTTGGGATTGCACGGATGCTTGAGCCAATATTTGCAAGACACCTTGGCCTCTTTGTTGTAAAACCGCCCCAAAACTTCGTTCCAAACTCCTCCCAGGAAAACCGAACGCTACACGCACGCACTGCGCACGTATCTATTTTGTCGCTTAGACAGAAGCAGTCCTGCTCAATTTTTAAGTCTCTTGTAGCAGCCCAACCGCACGGAATCTCGGCGGGTCACCAAAACATGGGTATATATGCATGGATCCATCTCCCAACTCAGCAAGCAACCCCAACCAAGCCGTCTTGCGGATCTTCAGCGCCAGAGGAGGAGTCCACATCACCCTGCACAGCTCGCGCGCAACACAACACCACCAGCAGCAAGAAGCGAGCAAATCTCTGGTGCCGATGCCTCCGCCGTCAGGGGGGGATCAATCAGGCCGCGGACGCCGCTTTCCCGGAGCGCTGCTGCAGCAAAAACTTGATCTTGAACGCCCCCCTGTCGCCGCCGCCGCCGCCGCTCTTGGTGGGCATGCCCAACCCGGGGAGGAGCATCTCCTTGTTGTGGTACACCTCCTGCCCCTTGGTCGTGACCTCGACCGGCGGGTCGGCCTTGCTCAGGAGCGGCACGCTAATCCGGACGCCTCGGCGGGCCTGGTCGTCCGTCAGCCGGCAATCGTAGACCAGGCAGTCCCCCTCCCGGCGCAGGTACCGGTGCCGCTTCTGCCGCAGCACGAAGCAGATGCTCCGGAGGCCCTCCCGCTTCGCCGGGAACGTCACCCGCGTCCCCTCCTTCCAACCCGGCTTGACCGCGATCCGGTAGACGTGGGACACCTTCCGCGACTGCCCCGTGAAAGGGTCCGAAACCGTGTCCGTCACCCTCAGCTTCTTCTCGCACCCTTCGTACAGCTCCCGCAGGCTGCACCAGAACTCCTTCTCCACGGGAGGCCCGGACTGTCGCGGCCGCCGCCGCTGCCGCCGCCGCGACCGCCCTTGACCGGGGGCCCCGTGGAATCCGCCCTTCCTCTTCGAGCCCACTCCGGACGGGTCGTCGAAGGAGGGGGACCCGAACAACCCGCCGAAGAGGCTAGCAGCGCCGCCATCCCCAAAATCGTCGAAGCCCCCGCCGCCTCCAAAAAAACCCTCGAAAAGCTCTCGCGGGTCCGTGAACCCTCCGAAGGAGCCGCCGTTTGCTCCCCCTCCCCCCGCCCCCCCGTCGCCCCCCCCGAAAGAGAAGAAACTCGCACCCCCAGGCCCGCCTTGCGCGCCGGCGAAATTCGGCATCCCTCCCTGTCCCGAGAAACCCTGACCGGGCCAACCCCCCCCGGCCCCGCCGGGGCCGCCGCCGGCCCCCGCGGATGCGAACACGCCTTCCTTCCCATACAAGTCGTACATTTTTCTCTTTTCGGCATCGTGGAGGACCTGACCAAAGCGAAACGAAACGGAGTACCAATGGGTTGCTACGCGTCGTGTCTGGACGTTCGCATTACGATGCATCTCCAAGGGCAGACGGTGGTGTTTGTCGCTGGAGTCTTCAGCGGGAGCAAGCGACGGTATGGGAGGAATGAGCATGCTTGGGGATCGACCACATATGGCATCTGGCATACTGCTGTAACTGGGCATGTATTTGATGCTTGAAGTAGTGTCATGGAGACAGAAGCATTTACCGAAAATGCTGTAGCCAAAGATCAACCTAGAAGGCATACGGTGTAGCCATCGTGCGGGTAGACACCTGAAGCAGTGCAGGCTTCGGACGGGGTCGCTTGACCCACAAGAGTAAGAGCCACAAAAAAAGGAGGAGGCTTGGATTCGTGAATTCTGCCACGCAAAAGTGCCTACAGTTTGAACTCACCTCGTATGCCTCGCTCACGAGCTTGAAACGCTTCTCCGCTCTCTTGGGGTCATCTCTGTTCTTGTCCGGATGCCATTTGAGCGCCTGTGGGCGTGCGGGCAGCGGCAGGAAGTACCCGCGGCAGAGCCGATCCGCGCGAAAAGACCAGTGAGGAACACACCCGGCATTTTCTGTCAGTCAGTCTGAGACGCGCCACCCACATCAAGTATTGTAGTTGGACATCCCGAGAGGGCCACTCTTTCGCTCAAAACACCCTCGCGCTTACAGCAAGAAACCCTTCGAATTAGAAGCGTACCGTTGTTGTGGTTGTTGTAAACACGTTAATCACCGTTCGTTCCGATCTCTCTACCCAGTACCCTTATCGGTACGCACTGATCGAACATTTGACGCGGTCGATTCCCGTTGTCACAGGGTACTGATCGAACATTTGACGCGGTCGATTCCCGTTGTCACAGGCTAACTTACCCTAAAAAGGGGATACTCAATAAAAAGGACCCGAACGGTACGCAAGCCAATTGATATCAACGACAGATATTCTGCGGGGCGAACTTTAAAATATCGTTCTGACCATCCTTATCCTCGTCTTGAAGACAATGAAAATTCGTCCCTGATGTTTGTTGGTGGTCATCGTTGTCATCGCTCTCGGAAACCAAGGATACACACACCTACCTTGAAATAAAGCTGCATCGTTCAGAAACGGAGGCGTTTTCTGTTCTCCGGCACACCGTCCGTGTACCCCAACGCCGATTCCATCCTAGAAGTACATACTGCTGTATAATATATTAGTGTACCATACGTCCTGGCGTCCTGGCATCAAGCCAGTGTTGATAAAGATGATAAACCACTTCTACTCCGGGCTTTGTGCGAACCCGAATCCCTCTCCACACCTGGCACACTTGATTTGTACCTGTTTCCGGTAGGCTCTTGTTACTTCGCGGTCAGAGCAGTCTTTGGATAGCCCGAGAACCTGAGCAATCCAATCAGACAATTGTGCGTGACCACATGCCCAGTTCGCAAGGTGGGTGATAGGGGGCGGGGATTGAGGTGAGAAACGGTTTTCAGCACAAAGCTGTTGAGCGGTTGAGACAGCACAAAAAGTCACAGAGGGATCTAACGCCCATCGCCCATTGGCCACAACCTGCGCGTACAGCGGGTATGCAATGTAGGTTGCTCTCGATATGGGGTTTCGAATGATACGAGCCGCGACTGACTTGTTGGAAGTACATGTGATATACTCTGTTGTTGCTGTTGTCATTGTTGTTGTCTCAAACCGTTCCGTTGTTTCTGCCCAGTGCCTTCTCTGTGCTGCTGGAAAATAGTATGTGCCAACAATCACTGTCATGATCCCCTTCGGCTGTCTCCAGACTCTGACATTCCATCTAGATAAGCAACCAGCAACAGCAGTAGCTCCGGTATTACTTGAAGAAAATATAGTTTCGAGGACGAGGAATCACGAGCACCGTACCGTGTAGTAGTCCTCCTCCTTGGCCTTGGCGAGTCCGACCACCAACAGGACCAATAGCACCGCACTTTTCAACAGCAAGCGCGCCGATAACCCTTTCATCAGGTGGGTAACGCTTCGTTGCAGCCAGGCAGCCAGCAGGTACGCACCAAGAGAGGTATTGGTCAGTGTGAGCTCGGCGCCGGAGAACTCAAGACTCAAGACCCACAAGAGCGAATCTTGGAGGCCGCATGAAATTCGGAGGCGTTCTGAACGTCTTGATTTTAGTACTACAGCTGTCCCCGCTTTCGTTGGCCCAACCCTTAATTCTGCTCTGTCGTGCCCCTCGTTTTCTTCCTCTGCTGTTGCCACCTGTCCGGCCAGTTGGCGTAAATACTACTGCTGTGTACTGCAGTTGAAATCCATCCTCGGGCGATCAGCCCCTCCAGTACCGGGGTGCGCAAAACATAATGGCGGACGTTACCAACATCCGGCGACGTCGCTTGGAGGCACTAGAGGAGAGTTCTCCTGCTGCGGCGGGAGCGAGTCCTGCTCTGGAAGTTGATAGCGGAGGAACGACCAAAGCGGCTGCTCGTAATGCTCCCGATGACGAGGCGACGGCCTGTACGATTCCGAGCGAGTTCGAGTGCATTCTTTGCCTAAGGTGTGTGTGTGTATGCGTGTCTGCATCGTGCCGGCGTACGGAGGAGAGGTGCGGTCGAGCATCTCCTCCGAAACCGGGGTGGCATTTTGCCGTATTGCATGCAGGTGTCTGATGTGTTGGACGAGGGTTGTGCCGCCCAAGGCCAGACCTTGCACATCAACTTGCCTCTCGCCGGTACACAACAACGTGCCAGTTGTGCATGAGCGCTCGCCTAAATATCAAACTTAAGTAGCATGTGTTTTCCTGCCCATCGGCTGTGTGTATGTGTGTGATGCATTGGTATGTAAATGCGCATGCGACGTTGCGGGATGGACTATCTGGCGTTGTGCTTTGTTCGGGAAGGGATTTGGTTGCAAACACACGTTCGTTCCGATTTCTCCAACAGACACACCGCGGACAGCCGCGAGAATGAATGTTAGACTCGATCCCGATACAATACAATGCAGCACCAGTGAGAGTCGTTTCTCGGAAGCTCGGGATCAGTGGGGGTGGTTACAAAAATACGTTGGTTTCTCCACGCTCGCACGTTGGTTTCTCCACGCTCGCAACTCATGTCTCCGACACATCCAATTTACGGAGGCCCTTGTTCAAAGAGAGATCATCTACGGCAGCAACAAACAGGCCTACAGCGTAATTATGCAAGTATGGAAAATATTTGTCCTTCTCTCTCTGCCGAGCGCGTCTCCAAAGACCTCTCTCGGGTCATTAATAATCCCGTTCGCACGGGGTACATTCGTTCGAGTTGGGGCGGGCGGGCGTAAACGTAAGCCAGAACGGAGGGAGTTTCATTCGATACCCGCGGATGGAGATCGCTGGGTTGCGATGGAGAGGTCGTTGATACGTATGCACACGAAGCATTGCAAAAAAAGTATGTGGTTGTGCTGCAGTACACTTGACGCTGTCTGCACCCGGGTGTGCTATACAGCTCTTTGCAGCAAACACCGCTTGGTCGCGTGCGGTGTTGGGGTTTAAACTTTGCCGACGCTCTTGTTAAATACTTCTAATAAAGAAACGCTCTAAAGGCCGCGCAATGAAGCAGACGCGGATTCTCTCTCCCTCTCTCGCTCGGTCTCTCTGACACTAAGAGCAGTATTGTAGTGCCACACACACTTCCAAGTACTGTGCAGCACTGAAACCACTGCTGTGTTGCACAGAATCGCACGCACGGCGGCACTGATACGCACCAGACCGAAGCTGTTCGATTTGTTTTTCGTCGGGGATCACGCTGATCTTCTTCCCAAGCATTATATATATAATAGTTGTTGTTGTACATGTATTCACATTAAAGACCGTTCCGGTCTACGCTGAGTACCTTCTAATGTCCGTACTGGTCCGACTGACTCGGACGCCTTCCGTGGTCACAAGCCAACTGCCCCCAAAGGGGGTTGCGATTTTTTGTGAGTTGGCACTGGCGTGTGAAACAGTCTCCCAAAAAGCCAAGGTGTTTCCCAAGAAAGACGTCCGTGCCAGCTACAAGACACTTCGGTGTTTCCATGCACACACTGCTGAGCTGTGCACGCAGCACTTATTTAGTCCCAGTCGCGAAGGCGTCGAGCGCGGCAGGCTCCGACAGCGCTGGAATCTGGGGAACTCACGGCACACAATGAGCCCCTCTTGTCGCCATTTATTTGTTGCGTTTCTAGCGGCCACTGGTTCGTGCACGATGTCCTGTCGCCTGTCGTCGACTCGTCGGTGCTTATTTCGAGACATTTCGTTTCGTTGTTGGCGTGGTGTTCCCCTCTCGCTCCTAACCCCCTCCTCGAGAGAACAGGCTGTACCACGAGCCGGTATCGTTGCCTTGCGGCCACACCTACTGCAGGGGTTGCCTGAAGCGAGCGCTGGCTAATAAGACCCAGGTACGAAGGTGTTCTGTCTGTCGCAATTATTCCACGCGTGGCCGCGCCCCGCGCGCGGCGACCGCACGATGAAGAACGCGGAGTAGTTATCGCAACCGTTCATGTGTCGTTTTTCGAAGCCAAGGAGACTGCTCCGTACGGTCGGGAATGTGACAGTTTACTATGGTGGTGCTGACCATAGGGAGGGGCAGTAGACGAGTCAAGAGCGATGCTCAGTTCAGCAGAAGCCAACAATGGTGGAAGGCTGAGGGCGCGGTCGTCCGAATGGAGCGCATCTGGAGGCCGTAGAGTGCTGTTGTGAGGTATCGTTTTCATCCGTTTGTGTCATACACATGGAAACATCTCGAACTGGATTCTTGCTGTCGCCCTTATTCTCTACAATTGGCGGTGCTGGTGGTGCTAGCTGCTGGTGAGACCCCCCACCCCCGTCCCCCGCTTCGTGCCTAACTCCGTGATGTATGTGCGTTGATGGCACCCCCCCCCCCTGTTTTTGTCGGCCACCAGTGCCCCATGTGCCGCGCCGCGTGCCACTTGGGAGCGGGCGACTGCGGGACGAACCTCGCCATGGTTAGCATCATCAAGAGCCAGTTCGGGCGGCAGTACGAGGAGCGCGAGAACGAGGTACACGTTGTACGAGCGGTGCGAGCAGTAGACAGCACGCGCACGATTGGGACTCTGTTTCTCCTTGTGTAAGGAGGACCCAAGCGGCGCGGAGGGCGAGGGTGGGGTTGGAGGGGGTCCACGGATAGGGAAGGCGGCTCGTGAGCGTGGGAGGGGGGGGCGGCGACGGAGGCCTGTAGTAGATAGAAACCGACGCGAAGCTTCTGAAAGCCTGCACGCTGGTTGCAGTCAATTGGCGCGAAGTAAGGGCGGTGGAAGGAAACTCTTACGTTTTTTATTTGTCTCCCGCGTTCTTCCTGTTTGTCACCACCGCAGCATCGCACTCCGTGCCTCTCCTGGCTGCCTGCTGTTTCTCTCTCTCTCTCTCTCTCGATTACTTCCAACTACCCGGCCGATCGATTGTCCAAAACCGACAACCAGGCGGAGCACGACGCGATGGTGGAGGCCGAGACACGCCGTCGCGCGCACACGATCGGGGAGAGCGTTACCCCTGCTCCGGACGGATCGGTGCTGATGCCCGTGTGCCTCCTCGACATGCTCCTCTTCCCCCTCCAACCCGTCACGCTCTATCTTTTCGAACCCCGGTGAGTTGAGTTGAGGTTCGCTGTAGCACGCGATCAAGTGTGCGTGAGCAGTACGCACAGCAGCGGCACACCACCACAAGCGGAACGTGCACACGTCAAGTGTGCCACTTCTCTGTTCCCTATGCTGCTGTATCTCGGTCGACCCCCTCTCCCTATACCATATGTTTCTGCGTGGTGAAAGGGCCGGTATTGTTGACTCTCAGATTCCACTGACCGGACGACGGCCTGGTGCTTGCGCCCGATATTAATTTGTAGTTGTCAGGCAGAATTTTGTGATATTGCGCCGTTCGTGCCGAAACAACCGCACCCGGCAAATGTCTCGTTTGACGCGATAGGGCAGTGCAGTGCTTGACACTCACCCCTCACCACAAGTTTGACCCATGCTAGGTAGGTTGGCACGATGTGATTCGGCCGGCCAGCGACGTATTTTGATCTACATCACCGCAAGTAGCAGCGAACTTTTCCCGGCGCATGCTCACAACACAGCCAGCCCAACAACCAGATCTCCGTCGTTGACATCGCCCGCGGCGCCGCGCGACCAACCAGCCCGCTCTTTGCCACGCGTGTGTACCCCCCCCCCAAATAGGTGTGTTGTTACCCGGTGCCCCCACGCACACTCTCCCCTCGAGACCCTACCGTACCGTACATGATGTGAACCACCCCTCCCTTTCCCTCTCTATTTCGGTTTGCGTGGGCGGTGAAAGACTCGACCTGCCGCGCTCCCAATCTGTGTAGATTTGGGGGCGCGAGGGGTCTATGGTGTAAGTAAGAGACTGGGGCTGTCCAAGAGCACCCGATCGTTATCGTCCATCTCCCGCTCCACCCAACCCCTCCGACTCACGTTCAGCTTCCTTGACGTCCACTGCCGGTGACGAAAAAACAGCTACATCACGATGGTCAACCGGTGCCTCTCCAGCACCCGGCGCTTTGCGGTGTTTCAGGACCAGTCGCCATCTACGGGGCTGTCGGGAGCCATCCTCGAGATCAGCGACGCCCGCATGATGAACAGGGGGCAGTACCTGATCATGTGCCGGGGCGTTGGCAGGTAAGCGGGGGGGTACCGTAGGTTGCATTAGATACCACCACCCCCTGGAACTGTATTGAAAGCTTAATTACTCCCCATCGAAGAGGATGCTGGAATGAAATGATATGTTGTCAGAAAACTCTCGACGAGATGGTTCCAACGCCACCATTTTCGGCACCGTCACTGCTTTTCCTGCTGAGATATTGAGCTTCGAAAATCGGTCCTGGGGGTGTGATATCTTATGCAACCCGCGGTAGTACCGCACGCTAACAATGAGTGTTGCTCTGTGGCGGTGGTGGTAAATTTCGACGAGCATGTTTCGCGCACGTGAGAAGAGTGCCGTCATGGTATGCAACGAGGACAGGGAGGAACCAGTAGAACATAAGTATGCGTCGTCTTAAGCAGGTCTTGTATCAGGAATCCGAGAATAATACGCCGACGCACGCAAAGAAGCACGACATGGAAACAGAGAGAGGTATAATCAGCAGCACATACATTGGACACGAACGAGAATAGGATTCACCGGATACCATTTATCTTCTCACTCGTCTCTCATAGCTTCCGAAACACGCTATAAACAGTTGAACTCATGTACACTCCGAAGAGTACACGCCTGATAATTATACGTGCTGGAAATGCACTCACGTATACATGCAGGAGAGTAGCATCGATTCCCCCGCGACGCCCCCTCATGTGGTTCCAGATAATGGCCTTCAGAAAAAAAAATTGTTTTCAACCGCACTGAGTCTATTGATTGGTAGCCGGTTAGCGCGGTCGATGCTACTAAGACTGGCGTTTCTTCATTGGTCAGTCAGTTAGCGCGGTCGATGCTAACAAGATTGGCGTTTCTTCATTGGTCAGTCAGTTGGCGCGGTCGATACTACTAAGACTGGCGTTTCTTCATTGATCAGTCAGTTGGCGCGGTCGATACTACTAAGACTGGCGTTTCTTCATTGGTCAGTCAGTTGGCGCGGTCGATGCTAACAAGATTGGCGTTTCTTCATTGGTCAGTCAGTTGGCGCGGTCGATACTACTAAGACTGGCGTTTCTTCATTGGTCAGTCAGTTGGCGCGGTCGATACTACTAAGACTGGCGTTTCTTCATTGGTCAGCCAGTTAGCGCGGTCGATGCTAGCAAGACTGAAATGTATTTTCATTGGTCAGCGGTTATCGCGGTCGATGCTAATGTTAATATAAACACATACACCTTCCGGTGCACTTCCTCCACGGAGCTCGAGGTGGAGTCGGGAGCGGGCGGCCGGTTAGCTCGTCGATGCTAATAATGGAAACACCCACATGTTTCGTTTTCAACCGCACTGCACCCGACGTCTCCGTTGGTCAGCCAGTTAGCACGGTCGATGCTAACAATAAAAAAAGAACACTCGTTTGGTGTTGTCAACCGCACTTAGACTGACGTCTTTTCATTGGTCAGAGCCGGCTAGCGAGGTCGATGCTAACAGCAACAAACACACACACACACACACACGCACACGCCTTCAGGTGCAACTCCTCCGCGGAGTTCGAGGTGGAGGCGGGAACGGGCGGCCTGCGGCACGCACGCGTTTCTCCGTTCGAGGACGATGACGAGGCAGTCACGGGGTCCACCGAAAGCAGCAGCGGCGGGGGCGGCGGAGGCAGAAGGGTCACGGCGGACGAGGTTCTCGGCCCGGAGCTGAGGGACCTTGCCGACCGCACGTCGGTGGTGGTTTTCGAGTAAGTTTTTTTGTTCTTTCTTTTCCAATTCTATGTATGCATACGTGTGTCGGTGTATGCGGGGCTCTCTTTTTTTTTGGGGGGGGGGGGATTATTGTGGTTGTATCTAGAACGGGCAGTCTTCCTGTTATTGTTTGTATTCCACGCGTGTGTCTGTGTATGCTGCGTGGGCTCCTCTTGTTTTGTGGGGAAAGACTGCTGTGGTTTATGTGTCTTGGAGGGGCACACGTCCTGTGGTTGTGGTGAGTGTTTTGAAGCCGCAGCGGCGAACTTGAGCCTCCTCGGGTGAGCGTGTGTATATCTGTGCGTTTCTGCATATATGCATCGACCACTTTGCCTTTTAGCTTTTTAGCCGACTGACCTATGGAATAGACGCCAGTGTCAGCAGGTAGACATCAGCCAATGTTCCCGGAAGGGGGCTAAGTATCCGAATTGTGGGCGTCACCCAGAATGCCACAGTGTGCCTCCCTACAAAACATTTGCGGGTTTTCGATGGAAATCCCACGGGCTAGACCTATGTCGCCAGCTTCTTGTCGTTGCCATAGATGGTGTGGTTTTCGGCCCGCGTGTTGTTTTTTCTGTACACGATTCCAGCGGCGATACATGCCTAGACCTCGTCCTGCTTTTTGTTGTTACCCAGCGTGATCACCTTGTCGCGTAGCCCGAGCACCAGGCGTTACTGCCGCGGGCTGTGCGTAAACGGCAGAGACCATGCACCCGACATCACTGCCCTGCCACAAGCCCGTTGTGTTTCTCACCCCACGCTCGGTCCCGCCGCCGCTTCTGCCCGAAAAACCAACGCTCCCTCTGGTGGCAGCTGCCTCGCGAGGTTGTCCACGCGGCAGAAAATCAGCCTAATCCGCCGGTGCGGGGAGCCGCCCAAGGTCGGCAGGTCCTCCCTCAACAGCTACCGGAAGCTGAGCTACTGGCTCCCTTCGGCTCTCGCCCTTGCCGATGCCGGCGGCAGCGGCGGCGGCGCCGCCTCTGGAGGCACCGCGGCGGGTGGTGGAGGAGGAGGCGTGGCGGCCGCCCGCGAGCGGCGGGCAGCGATGTTCAGGAACCGGTCCCTGCGGCAGAGGCTCTCGGAGGCCTGCGAAGTGGTGATGGAGAGCGAGGCCGTGACGGGGTCGACGAGCAGCCGCCGCGAGCGCGGCCTGCGGAAGCTCTTCGCGCCGCCCCCGAGCGGCCTCGGCGGCGGCGGGGGCGGCGGCGGCGGCCACGGGCAGGGGTTCCTCAGCTCCACGAGGAACTCGGTGATCCTGATCGTCGGCATCTTCGCGGCGATGGTGGCCTACCAGCGTATCTCCAAGGTCTGAAGAGGAGAAGCACGGTTGCCGTCGTGACCGCGGCGGCGTCATTCGGCCCTCTACATATAGAGATGAAATCGCTCCGTATTTTCCAGCGCCACCATGAATGCCGAGGCCCTGGAAACGGTGCATGTGTTGCTTGGTTGTATTGATATCAGGGAGATTGGGCTGGTTTTCGGTGGGTGGGATAAGACTTTTGGATGGGTGGGCTGGGTGGAAACCGGACGGCCCGGCGTTGCCCCTCTTGCCTTGCCGTGATAGGTATCGCTGCTGCTGCTGCTGCTGCTGCTGCCGCCGCTTTAGTAGTATGGTTTGTATTCTACCCTTGCGTATTTTTCGTTTCTGACCGTTTGTACCAGTGGCGGTGAGCGTCGGGGGGGAGGGCTGTGGCTGGGCGGTGAGGGGGACATCTCCAAGAGGGGGTAATGCAAGACGATGACGAGCGCCCCCTTCCCTGGCCATGTTCTCCCTGCGTGTGCTGGTTGATTTAGTTGGTTTTCGGTGCATGTGCCCGCGAGGGAGGGCACAACCGTTCACTCAACGTTCGTTTTGCATCATCGTTTTCTTCTCTTTTGGCCATCATTAAGGGGAGCACTCCTTGTTTGTTGATCGCTTCCCCCCGGAAGCAGCAGCCGCGGGATTTTTTCTTAAGGGCTTGTTTTTTTTTTTTTTTTACCCCTTTCGATTGGCGAGGCGCGGGGGGAGGGGGGGGGGGGGGGGCAGGTAAGGGACGAATAGACGCGGGGGCACAGGCACGCCACATGTGTGCGTGGCTTCGGAAGGCGCAGGGGCGACGACACGTCGGGTGGCCCCCACTCGACATTTGCGCTGTCCCCGTGTGCGTGCGGTGGTTGATCTGAACGAACGGTGTTTTTGCCACAACGGCACCAGTTGGCAGGAGCATGACTTGCCGTAGTGTACACTTGCAGACGTTAACACAGAGTACATGGTAGAAGCCGGGACTTGAGCCTTAGTTTTTTTTGCATTTTTCAAGAAATAAGCGACTTAAGATTACGAGCTGGTTTGGCCCAGTTAACTGTTGTGCTGTTCAGTCGCTGTTGGTTGCGTCTCGAAGGAACAGAGGCGGATTCCTCGTTCGAAACGCGAAGGTCTTAAAGTTGTGGTCGGTTCGGCACAGCTTCCGCAAGGTATTTATTTGCTAAGCAACGTAGGTTGGTGTACGTGGCACTTAAAGATGATGATTTTCACGCTCGTGGAGGCATGGAAGGCGCGCGGAGAAATGCTGCGTGGTTGGGTGGTTGGGTGGTTGGGTGGGTGGGGTTCGAACCGGCTTTGATAACGTTCCTTAGGAGGGTAGGTGTTAAGGCTGTCCATTTTCGGCGAATGTTGGGAAGGGAGGGCGCCAATGGGCGGGGGAGGTAGAGGTGCGTCTCGCTGACGTGCTGACACGTCAGCGGAGTTGTGACTGTGTTGCAATGGAGAATTCGTTAAATCTAAAGCTCAGGTTGAATTTAGACCTTAGGCGGCTCATGCGGAGGGTGTACGTCCTGCACACAGCATGTTTTTGGTGCCTCGGGTTCATGCGCCCCCCCCCCGGCGTCGAAAGCGCTTCTTGAGCGTGTAGAATGTAGAGCAGGATGTATAGAACGTTGGTGTGGTGCAGTGCAGCAGGCGGGCTCGTTTCTTTTCCAGGTGTGCTTTTTTTGTGTGCAGTGTGTGTGTGTGTGTTTTCCCGTGCACCCAGTGGCCCATTCCCTGCGGTCTATTCGTTCGTGTGGTCCATGTGTTGAGAACGTGCGCTTGTAGTTGGTGTCGGTTGCTTCGTTTTTGTATCGAACAATTTGGCTGTACCTGTGCAAAAACGTGCTATTAAGGTATCACCTAATAACGTTCATTTCGTACACGTATGTATTGAGGATAGGTTGCATGGTGTCTACCCCTCCCGTGATTCGGGTCGATCCGTGGTTGGAAAACGGTCGGCGAACAAACAAGCAGAAACACCCGGTCATCTCGCGGGAAGAAACCGTCAGTCAGACAGCACACGAGGGTCCACAATTCGCCTCAATGATATTGTGTTGTATGGGCATGCATGTGATGCCCAGTCATCTCGCGGGAAAAATCCGTCACTCATACAGCACACGAGGATTCACAATTTGCCTCAAGGACGTTTATGTTAAATGGGCGTGCTTGTGACACCCGGTTTTCATCCGGTTTTCTCGCGGGAAAAACCCGTCAGTCAGACGGGACGCGATGGTTAATAAAATAATAAAGCCATTTTACCCGCCGTTCGTCGTCCGGTCCTGGTGCCCGCCTGCGCCCTTTCCAACCACGACGCCACACGCATATGGAAACAACGTACCACTTAACATGGAATTACAGTAGTAGTTCCCTTTCGCCGTGTACCTCCCTCACCCAACACGCTCTGAAGGTGGGAATTGTCATCGTGTGGTCGCGCATGAACGAGGGGACAAGACAAAGAGAAACCTCATCGTTTATCCTGGTCCTCTACATTTTTAGAAAGTGAACAACCCTCACAGAAAGACTACCCGTTCGAGATATGACAACCTCAGTCGAAAGGGATGTGATGGAGTCTTTTCAGTGAGTGGAGGAACACCGGCTGGGTACTACTGGACTTATTATTTGGGCCTCTACATACATTTAAATTAGTAGTAATTTCTAGGAATGAATGAGCACCGTCGTCGTGAGTGATCCGCCACTACGCGCCACACACAGCCCCGTAGAAATTTGCCAGGGGAGCATGCACATGAATGATGAGTCCGCAGATAGATGATGATTCTACCAAGGTAACGAAGGGAGAATACATTTATTTCAATTCGAGCGCCGGTTTATATAATATTAGTATAATAATAGTGCACAGAACAAAACTTTATTACAGCATTCCCACAAAAACTCAGGCTGACCCTCTGATAAGGTTTCGTGATTTGGGCGATACCAAATGTACATGCATTTTTTCTCTGTGTTTCTCGACCCGCGATGACCCTTAGATGACCGCTCGGCAGAGGTATACTATTATACAACGTGCTTGTTGAAAAGCACCAACGACGATGCAGCGCGCAGAATTCCTCTTCGGGGGCGGCGGAGTATCATATCATCCCCTGGCCCTCCACGAAAAGGAGAGAGGCATGTTTCATCTGCAACAACCGCTTCATCTCGCACATCTCGCCCAATCTCTCACATCGCTCAGCACTCAGCACGCGTACCGCCGTAGTTCGGGTACGCAAGCAAAGTCGGTCGGCTTTGTGACGCCGTGGACCTTACGGAACGCCCTGCAGGGACAGATTTTTGGCGGATCGGGAGAGGAGGCAAACATGATGTTGAGCAGGAGAAGCGGCTGCACCAGCAGCCGCCGCCTGGTGGGTATGCATATTTTGATTGTTGCGGGATTGTTGGGGCTAACGGGGGCCTTCATGGCGCCCGCCGGCAGACCAACGGCCGAGGGGGGGCTAGAGCGGGGAGTGAAGGCGATCGGGGCGGCTGGAACGGAGGCTTCGTCCAGCAAGAGGTGGGTTCGGTGTACCGCCTTGTCTCCTCCGGATTGAATTTGTGAAGTACATGCTAACAGCAGCGAGCTCCTGCTGTGTTGGGTCCTGCCGAAAACAAGAGGCCACGCCTTTCGATGAAGCTGCCGCTCAGCAGCACCCCTGCGTGTGCCCCTTCCGGGTCACGCTCTGCTGATAGACGCTTCAGAGCACACCTGCTGCTGCTATGTTCCCCGTCTCGCCGAAGGGGACAGCAAGCATTGGCAGGATGACCGCATGGGAAATTGTTCTTGCGTGGCAGCAGCTGCGTTCTGACCTGGAAAGATCAAACGGCAAGCCGGTACCGCAGATCATACACACACCTCCTTGGTGATCGGCACACAGCAGCCAGTGTGGAGCGGAGCGAGCGACGACTTTGCTGCAAAGCCTTCTACAGTAGGATGCACGCTTACCCATCGCGAGCTAGACATTGTTTATTCTCCAACGCGATGGCGGCACAGCGCGAGCCCCCTCTTTTGGCTGTCGATAAAGAGGGTTGTGTGTAAGCGCGCGCGCCCAGACTTTTTTTTGTGTTGATGTGTGCAGTCGAACGGTAGTTTCACGTTGTTCAACATGGGTCTTTTTCCTCTCCGCCCCCCTCTCCCCCTGTGCGAAATACCTCTCTGCTCAAGAGTGGCCTGGGTTAGTAAGCGGTTTCAGCCCAGCACGTATACGCGCACGCACACGCGCAGACATGTGGCATCGTGTGTGAGCAAGAGAGCGAGCGGCCTTCGTATCATTGCGCCAAAAAAGGCAACGGACAGCAGTCTCTCAACGTCTTAATCTCCTTATGTTCTGATACAGTAATACCCTATGCGTAACACGCTTTTCAAACTTGTTGAGTCGTAGTGCTACCTTTCAAGCTGTCTTCCTCCTTCAAACTTGCCGCGGAAACTGACTCTCTAGAGGTTGCTGTTAAGCGTGTTGTTCTATGCAATTCTGCGGTGAAAACGATCGTTTGTGGTGAGATTGCACACGTTCGACGTATGAAAAGGACGGCTGTACCCTTCTCGCAATAATACAAGTATGGTAACACACCGGTGCAGCAGGAAAAGGCGGGGCAATAGCGTACCTGTAATACAAACAGCATCTGCTTGTGCGACCTTCCTGCTGCGTGGCACCGGTTGATACACCAGACACATGCACCGGAAAAGCGTACCGATAGACTTGGGGCCAAAAAGATAGGAACGAACGCACACACACAGAGTTATTTCTTGGCACACCGAGGTGATGTTCACACCCCCACCGGAGGACGGGAGGTCTTGGCATATGGCAACAGAAATCGCCCCGCATGTTGATGGTGCATGTGCACCCAGGGGCTTGTGGGACTTAACCATGCGTCAACTCGAACAAATCTCGCAAGAAAGAGGGAGGTGTTGGCGTTGTGTGCAGCGCACACTGCGGCCGTAGCTGTCTTGCCTACAGCAACACGTGCCAACACTTCGGACTTGGGCATTTGGTTTCTATATTCTTCAAGTCCACGCGGTTCTTGAAGTCCACACTACATGTGCACACATGGCATCGAACCGTTTCACGCAACGAATGAAAAGCGGCTCAAAAGCACTGTGTACGATCTAGGCCTGTGCTCGGTAGGTGATTTTATTTTCATTTTTTCGGTGATTTTTCCGATTGCCAACAAAAAAATCGGTGATTATTCTAGGTGCACTGAAATTTTTTTCGGGGACAATCGGCGACAAAAATAAGAAAAGGATGAGAGCCAATAAAGATTTTTCGGTGCTTTTCGGTGATAATTTGAAGGGTAGACTGCCGAAAACGTTCTTCGGCGATGTTCGGCGATATCGTAGGAAGTACTCCACTTGAAAACGTTAAAACGAACTCTGGTGTTCTTTTATGTATACCACAAGTGTGTCCGTACTGTGTACCGTGTGTGGTGTCTGCAGCGCGGTGCTTGGGTTGTGTTCGCTGTGTGCTGTGTGCTGTTGGCTCTGCTGCTGTGCTGCTGCGCTCGAGGGGGGTATCTGATGGGATTTGCGGGGTACGGCCTGTATACACGGAGCCCCCTAACAAAAAAGGTGAAAATCAGCGAGGCGCCTCCCGTTTTCGGTGATCGGCCACTATTTTTTCGGTGATTCAAATTCGTCACTTTTTTCGGTCAAGTTTTCAAAATTCGGTGCTTTTCGGTGATCACCTACCGAGCACAGGCCTAGTACGATCGAGAAAGAACAAGCCGCCGTTTCATTATGCGGCGCAACTCCGTTAGGGGCGAGGTTTGGAGACGAAAAGAAACGCAAAAACCCCGGGGCTGCGCACAGCAACAACAGTAGGTGGGTCTGAAGATGTGCCGGTATCCGTGGATACGTATATATCTCTTGGAAGCAAAATAAAGGGATCCGTGGTAGCAAGCAAGCTACAGTGCCTGTAGACACCAAAGAAAGGCATAGACGAAGGTGGGCACAACGAAGACCCCTGAAGCACACGTCCCTCCGCTTTCGGAGAAATTAAAACTAGGAACATTGTCCACACAAAATTGACAACGCTCCCCAGAGTATTACAATAGGACAAATACACACACGCACAGAACTGCTACCCGTTCGAGATAGAATATAACCACCGTCGAAGGGGATGTGTTGGAGTCTTTGCAGTGAGAAGAGGGAAACCGGCTGTATGTTCGAGTGGGGGAATTGGAACACATTGCTCCAACTCGGTAGTTGAGGCACACACGAAGTGTACGTACCAAGATAATATTTTAGTTGCATCTGGCAACACGGTCGTCACGCCCCTGCGCATGTTCGTCCTTCGTTCGGTTGCTTGACCCAGCCCTTTTGTAAAAACACGCGAGTGGTATTTTGGGCATGCCCATGGGCATGCCTGTGGGCTGCCCACCGTGGGCAAAACTGCAGCGAAGGATGGCCTCACGATTGGAGCCCCATGGAACTATTATCTTCCCTGGCCATTCCCGTGGGCAGCCCATAGGAACGAGTAACGAAACCGCTGATGCAAACGAGCAAGTAAGCCCTCCGGCAAGAGCATGCACAAGATCTTCGTATCCTGTTGATTTTGTTTCTCTCTCCCCCCCCCCGCTACCCCGCGCGCTCTGTGGTTGTTTGTGCTCGTGCTGATGCGTTAAAACTCGGGTTGTGCCTATGAATAGTATCTCTTCGACACCCACGGATGTCTCATCTAAGACTCTGCTCTTGAGGGACCAGTTGAGGGATGCAATCTGGAAGGCTACGGACTCGATCACGCACGCTGTGGAGGGCATGCCAGATGTCACGGTACGTTATTGTTGTTGTTGTTGTCTATTAGCTTTTGTCGAAACGGATGCTCCAATTAGCTCGCCCGAGGACTTGGCTTAGACTCTTCCTTTTAGCGAGCACCGCCTGCTGGTGCTTGGCGTAGCGGCGTGCGCTGGCCTGTGTGTTTTCTCCGCCGACTAAGTAGTAGCGACCGCGTGGTCCCCCGCAGTAGTCGTATTTCGCCGCATTCGGGTCTTGCTGAAGCTCGGTGACTGGGTTTAGGGCGTTTTTTTTCGTGCTCTGAAACCGTGGTTGTTGGGTGTGTGCTCACGCGGAGCCTTGTGTTGGGTCCGAGCGAAGAGAGCCATGTGCGTCAGCTCTGTTTGCGCCGAGGCATCCCGTCCTCCCCTGAAATGGGTGTCGCGTTTCGTGTCGAGTAGGGCCTCTTGTCTGGGCACCACAGCAGACACATATAGCATCACAAATGCTTTTGTTCTGCGACGTGTGACCCCCACCCCCCTAGCATGCGAGGCCAATGGTCTAACGACTACGGCATGCGCGACTATGAGCACCCCCCCCCCCCCCCCC